CATAACAATGTTTTGCTTTTATGATAATTCAGGCCTATTTTAAGTCTGGTAATATTAAGACTGTCTTGAAAAGACTGCACCACTTATGGAGGATCGTAATGAGAGAACCAAGACTATACTTATAATTTTCTGACCCCAAACCTATGTTCTCTCACTGTTGACCACCTCTTGTCATGTCTCTGTGATTACTTGCCTACAAACAAAAAAAAGGCCCAGATCCTTTTTCACTTGTAAGAGTTTATCTATAACAGGGGTGGGCAAAATGCAGCCCACCAGGCCATTCTATCTGGCCTGCAGGACCCCGAAAAAATTTAGCAAATGAATACTTATCTGCCCCTGGCTGCCTGTCATGCAGCCCTCGATGGCTTGCCAAAACTTAGTAAGCAGCCCCCTACCCAAAATAATTGCCTGCCCCTGATCTATAGCATGGCAGAAGCGTGCTCCAGTTGGGATGGACCTAACAACATCCTACCTACCCACTAGGCCTGTGCAAATAGGGAAGTATTTGGTTTGGATTTGGCTGATTCAGAGGACAGTGATTCAATTTGGAGATTCAGATCACTGTCCTGAATCGATTTGGCCGAATCAGCTTTGGAAGATTCAGCGGTGATTCAGAAAGATTCGGTGATTCGAATTGGTTGAGGAGAGACAGGCACACCTGGGCAGCTCCACCTGCCTCTCCCCAGGTGGAGTGGAGCTGTGGGATAAGCCCCCATAGCTGCCCTGCTTGGCCGTATCCTTCATCCGGCCTCAGTCTCCTGGCACTTTTTTTTTTTTTTTTTTTTTATATAAAGCCCTGCACTCACCGGGTGCAGGAGCAGTGATTGGGGCCTCTGGGCACTGGTGGCAGAGCCCCCCCACGCAGTGCAGGGCAGCAGGGGTCACCCCCTCGACCTGGTACCATGCAGCAGTTGCCCCATAGCATGGATGCACTGCAGCTTGGCAGGGCACTGCGCGCTGTCTGGGAGCTAGGGCCGCTGGGGATTAGTGCTGCCAGGCTCCAGCTGACATGAGAAGCCACCCCCAGCTCCCAGGTGAATCGAACCAGGGGCTGGGGAATTGAACCGGTTTGATTCCCCAGCTCCCTGTTCAGTTCCCCAGCCCCCGGTTCAATTCCCCAGCCCTCAGTTTGATTTTCTAGCTCCATGTTCTCCCCAGCCCTGAGTTCAATTCACCTGGGAGCTCAAGCACCTCCATGTGTCAGCCAGAGCCCAGCAGTGCTCAGCTCCAGCTCCCAGACAGTGTGCGGTACTCTGCTGAGGCATGATGCACCCACACCATGGGGCAACTGCTGCTCAGGTGCCAGGGGGCAGGGCAATCCCCACTGCCCCATGCTGCACGGAGGGCTCTGCCTCCAGTGCCCAGAGGCCCTAATCCCCATTACCAGAGCTGGTGAGTGTGGGGCTTTTTTGTTTTTGTTTTTTTTAAGTACCAGGAGTCTGGGGCCAGGCATGGGATGGGGCCAAATAGGGCAGCCATGGGGGGTTCTCCCACAGCTCCTCTAGCTGTGCCTGCCTTTGCTCCAGCAGGAGGTGCTGTGGGGGCTATGCCCTGCTGCCGCTTGCCCAGCTGGCACGGGGTGGTAGGGGGGGCACAGATCACTCTGGATGACAGTAGGGCATAGCCCCTGCTCCCAGTGCTGCCACGCCCACATCAGCACTGGGAGTGAGGGCTATGCCCTGCCGCCGCTTGCTAGTCAGGGCTGGGGGGGGCGGGGCTACGGGATGCAGGCATGTTAGTGCTGGGAGCGGGGGCTATGCCCTGCTGCTGCTTTCCCCCTTCTTCCCAGAGTGAGCCACGCCCCATCCTGCCCTGCCTGTCCCAGCTGGGTGAGCGGCAGCATGGCAGAGCCCCCGCTCCTAGCACTGCCATGCCCACATCTTGTGCCCTCCACCCTTCTCCCCAAGTAACGCCCCCCTACTCTAGCTGTGCAGCTTATCCCAGCCCCAGCCCCAGCCCCAATCCCTCCTTCCTCCACACTTCTTCCCTCCCCCAGCCCCAACAGATTTACCAGCTGCTGTCAGCTGCCTGTTTAGTCTATGGCCAAATTCCAAATTGGCTGAATCTTTTTCTGAAGCTTTTCGAAGCATATGAATCGATTCGGAGCTTTTACTTGGTCTCCCAATTTGATTCGGATTCAGAGATTTGGTCCCTGAATCAGGCCAAATCTCCTCCGAATTGAATCAGCTACCAAAGCTTCACACAGCCCTACTACCCACTCCCATGGGCATCGAAGCTTCCCACAGTCCTACTACCCACCCCATGGGCACGCTCCAAACCTGGAAATACACTGCAATTGGTTCAAAATGGAGTTGTCTACTTGCACAGTTTTGTTTTTGTTTTTTCATGAGGCATATCACACCTGTGCTCAGTAACTACTTGGGCTTCTAATCTGTCTGGAGGTGCATGTGTTGGTACTTGATCTATATTGACCTATAAAGCTTGGATCTGTGCCTCCCACCTTAAGGGTTGGGACACTCTTGATTAGAGTCCTTAGACTCGTCTGTCTGAAAAAGTCTTTGCCTTTGAAACACCTTTCAAAAGTATCTTAATTTTTTGACTCTCATGACACTTTGTAAGTCTGTTTATTTTCTTGGTGATTTGTCTAATTGGATGGTCTGAAGGAGACTGACTTTCTCTCGCAGTTTGGTGAGTTCTTTGATATTTTATTAGCAATTATATGGCACTACAGCTGTGATAAATGTGTGTTTTTATTTTTATACTCATGTATATATACAGAGGCAGCTAACAACGCCAGTATAACTTGAGTGCCAACCAACAGCAGCCTCAGCTCATTCTCCAACAACTATTTGTGTGCTTTTCCTCTCACTTCCACTTATGAGTGAGGAAATCTCTCACCATATCCTCCTCAAAACCATCTCTTTTGTAATGTACATGGTAGAGTACAATCTGAGAATGGCTTGGCATGTGGAAGCCTGGTATTGCTACTACTGACTGGCTGAGAATTTGCACATTCTATTTATTTGTGGTGCTGTCTCTGCCACCCAAGCCCTGCCAACATCTTGGTGTCATCTGCCAGTCATGTCTTTGAGGAAATAAGAAATTTTGAGTCGTTGACTGTTATTAACTATATTGCTTACAGATGTAAAAAAAAATGGTGCTTTACTTTACGCTTGGCGTGCCCCCCACACCAAGCACAGTGCATGCCCAGAAGAGGCACAGTGTTAGTTTGACCCAAATGGCCTAATGTCTGTATAGATCGGGTGCTTCAGCAGGGCTTTTCTGGTACTTTTACCTAATAGCTGATTGAATTAGCTTTAGATAAAAGCACCAAAAAGCCCTGCAGAAGTGCATGATCTATATAGACACTGGGGAGCCAGGTTGAACTAACCTGATGCTTCTTTTGATAAAGCATGGGGGTGCAGGGAGGGTGTTGTTTGTTTTTTCACATGTCAGTGCCCTTTGTTTTTATAGCATGTACCATAATACAGGTATTAAATAATATAAATAAAAACAAGACATTATAAAGGGACAGTGGAGGCAGCTGATGAAGGGAGCTTTCAGCCAGATGCCTGAGTAACCGAAGTACTAGCCTGTATGTAAGAAACAGGTTCTTGTAACTTAGTGCTGATAGGTTCCAGGGGATTGTTTTTTAGAGGGGAGGGCTCTTTTCGGATTTATGTGCTGGTGTTGAAAAGAAGACAGTACATTTTTATCTGGGAAAAAATTTACATCCAGGGTATACAGGAAGTCAGAGTAGATGATCATATTTATTCATTTGGCTGTAGTTCCTATGAATCCTATCTTGAAACACCTGTGGCAGCAGCCTGTGTTTAGTTACAGACTTGAAGTGACATTAGCAGGAGTTGGGAAATGATGGTTTAAGACATTCTATATGATTTCTTTAACAAGTTACCAATTTTATAACAGGCCTAGTATTTTTAAAGACAGGTTCACTTTTTAAAAATGTGATAGTCTTAGTTCCTTTCAGTACAAAAAACCCTGGTTTGATACTATGAACTGAAATTTGCATGGAGAGCAGGAACAGAGCTATCAGCTTAGAGAAAAGAAACAGAACTTGTAGTGTAAACACAGTACTGGATCATAATGGATTTCTGCACAAAGACTTGCTTTAGATTCAAAAAATGATCCCCCTTTGTTACCTTACCCAGCCCTGAGTACTTGGCTTATTCAGTTATTCACAAAAAACTAGTTTAAAAAAAGATGAGCAAGGGGTATCCTAGGGACCTAATTAACTCTTAGCCTTTCAGTTGAGTGCCACATAAATAGGCCAGCTAACAGACTTTTTTTAAATACGAAGTAGAACTTAGTGTATTACATACTTGGCATACTTGACATCAAATATTAATAGTTATATTTTATATACTTTATATCTTCAACACATGTTATGTACATTGACTGAATGGATCTTCACAGCCCTATGTGAATGTACATAAGTGTACATTCCCATTTGGCAACAGAGAAGCCAAAGATCAGAGTGAAGGATGAGTTGTCCACAGACGCACAGAAAGTCACATTAAGAGGCAGGAGCAGAATTTCTGAATTCCTGGTTCCCAGTCCAGTGCTTACTCCTTTAGACCACACTGGCCTTCTAAGAGAGTAGAAGAGTCACTTTATTTACAAGGATACTAAGGTAACGAGTCTCAAAACAAGAGATGTTTCATATAAGTAGATGCATGTTGAAAATGAACACAAAAACAATGGATATCATTATCAGGACGTTAATATTATTGAATAATCACTTCCAAGACCTGATAAGCCACGTGAAAGTCAATGGGATTTTGTCATTGACTTCATTGGTAGAAAAAACAGACCTGAAATGTTTGTGTAATAAAGAAAGGTAATAGAATTTTCAAAACTACATATGATTTACATTTCTTCTAAAATAAAATTTTAAAGATTTGCATGCATGCTGAATGTGTTTAAGGAAACACATTACGGAGCACAAACATATGGGTTTAAGTCAGGCGTATTTCTGATCATGATAAAGCTGTTTGCCTAACCTTTATAGAACTTACTCTGATAGGAAGTACGGATCCGTTTCGTTAAATCAGGATAAAAGTTAGACAGCCCACGCATGCAAAAGTTGTCTTTGGAACATGCCAGTACACCAGCATCAGCAGCAGGCAGAGGAAAGAGAGAAAAAACAGTCTAAAGTGAAAGGAAGTGATATCATAACCAGCATCTAGAACAGCCAAGGTGAAGAAATTTCAGCAGATGTTTACCTTCAGGTCAGAAGATATAACAAGGAAAATAAATAATCCAAAAAAGTAAAGGATGTGGGATGGATGGTGAGAAAGCAGCTGAGGTTTTATCCATGTATATCATTTTTAAGAGTGGTCTAAAAAAGGCATCTTCTTTCCATTAGGTATTTATAAAGATAGGCTCCATTCTAGCAGTACAGCACATCTGGAAAGTTGCCCTAAAGGAGTAGCCAAGGTTCTCCCTAATATGGATAATCCTCAGGTGGTGAAAAGCTAGTACAGTCTCCTCTGCATTACTCATCTTCCCCTGCCTATGTAATTTCTGCAGTATTTGGTTGTAGCCTCAGTAACATAGAGAAGCTTGGGACTGGCTAAGCCATGTAAAGGGAGGGAAAAATTAAAACTGCCTTCGCTTCTGCTCTGCTTCACTGTGCCAAGTTTACACCATCTTTACATTTGTCACAGCTGAGAATCAAGTCTGATATGTTTAAATAATTGTAAAATGAAGTAATGTGATTCTTCAGGGACAGAAATAGAAACCAAAGATTTAAGTTTTTCTCTCTAAGCTTTAATTGTTCAGAGTTCAATCTTGTTTCCAATGTGGTTATTAGCAAAATGTTTGCTGATTCCAATGAAAACAGGATTGGGTGGTTAGGCAGAGAGCATGTTTTTGAATGTTTACTTGTCATGAACTATTAATACAGTATAATTCAACTGTGCAAAATTCATGACTAGACTACAGTTCTCATCTAAAACTGTTCCTTTATGTAACTTTAACATTTCACAATTGCCTGTCAATAAGACCTAATTGTGTAAATATAAAATAGCTGTAGATACACACATAATTTATATGTAAAATACTATTTTTTCTAATTTTCTGAACCACATGGAACTTTTGGATTTATAGAAATGCAAGACAAAAAATTAATTGTATTGGTGGAAGCCCATTTCCATTATGCAATGCATAACTATGGCTACAGTGCTGTAGCATGTGTTTCTTGACCTTAAACAAACAAAATTTTCACAGATGGATTTTATAAGATTTGGTTAGTATCTCCACAGGAAAAGAATGAATACAGCTACTTCCTATTTAAGCTGTTTTTGCTACCTAATGAACATGCCAGCTAGAATTCTGTTACCTGGTCCTTCAACCATAACTATTTATTTAAATACAACTAGCTTGGTAGAGGTTATATATAGGATTTAAATTCAGATCTTACTTATTGGTCTGAAGCACTTGGCAAGTGGAAAAAAGGCAGCATAGTCATAGAGCACATAATGAATTTGCTAGCAAAGAAACAACCAATTATTTTTTTCCTTACAATTTCTCAGAGACTAAGCTAGGGAGATTACTTACTGACCTCCATCCCAGACAAATTTCATTACATTTGTAATGAAGTAACATTTTGTTTCTGCATAAGTGTTGGTACCTATGGAACAATCAGATTTCTTTCTGCCATTCTATGTATCCCATTGGCTGGCAGATTATCATGCATTTCAAAAGCACTATAAAAAGCTGCAGGCAAGAAAACCAAGACCAAGTAAGGCTCACAGCAACTGTGCTTTTTTCCCCTACCTGCGGCGAACTGCTTGCTTTTGCGCGGAGAACGGGGCTGACGCTGATATGGATCACTTGACCCGTACAAGTCAATGGTTCCCATGCTCAGCAACACTGTCTTCTGCATAAAATCCACAACAGCCAAACCATTGCAGTTTCCAAATGCAACTCTGAGAAAAGAAACATTCCTCCCAGATATTACACTTGGGTTTTGTACAATATAATTCATACAAAAAAAAATTAAAACAGCCACTATTGTGAACTATGCAAATAATTTTCTCATAAGATCTTATCTTCAAACCTTGAAGCTTATACATTATTTTATAGACCTGAACTGTAACAAACTTGCATCCCAAAATGCTGCCATTAACATTACACAAATTAGATGCAGATTACCTTAATCATGCTGCATAGTTTATTGCTATCATAATATGCAAATATTGCCATGTGCACCAATATGGTTGTAATAATTAGAATCATGGCAAATAATGACAAGTTAAAGTGTACAAATCATAGAGTATATATAATCTATGAACAAATACGCAAAGTAATGATATCAAGGTAATGAAATCAAAACCCTGAGAATATTTACAAAGTCTCAGCTCAGCTACAGTCTGTGAGGTCAGTCACTCACCTCATACTCTCTCCCTGGGGGTATGGAGTTTGAGTAGGGCTTTGTAGCTTGTGTAAGAGCACCCAGGCTCTGGATCCTGTTCTGTGTGCAGGAGAAGATGGGCCTAGCTGTTTTGCCTCTTCATTTGTCTAGCCTGGGGGGACCTTAGCTCCTGTCTTCCATAAAACAAGCACTCCACCCCCTTTCTTCTCCTGCCCTGCAGGGTAGGTTGGCTTTAGGGGAGACCCTTTGACTCTGCTCTTCATGCTGTACCCACGCATCCCATCCTTCCCTCACTAGTAAGACTAGACGAAATAAATTCATAGTGCTGCTTCTGTCACACAACCAGATCACAGCTGGATTGAGGCCACTGCTGTCCATCAGGGCCACTGCTGCTGCCTCATGGCTGGATCACCCTGCACACTGGTTGGTCTCGTGCTGCACCCACCCTGTGCACTGGATCTAGCCCATGCCAGCTGGATCCAACTTGCAGACAGACCTGGTGCAGTCCATCCAGCCTGCAGGGAGAAAAGGTCAGGCACCACTAAATGTAGATTAATCAGCTTTGTCTGGTTACTAACAGCATTTTTTCCAACAAAATGCAAGAGACCTCTAACTAGTCTGAGGAGACCAATTAAGCTTTAGTCAGGATTTCTTATTTGGTTGTTTTGTTTTTATTACATCTAGAGCTCTTCTACAACTTATCAGTCCCTTCAAATATTAGGTAGTTGAGGTTTCATATGCATTTTGGGAAGACAGAAAATTTGCCTCGAGTTACTTACACATGGGTAGTGCTAGTAGAATTTGGGGGCATCATTTAGTAAAAAGAAACATATATTGAGTAGTTCAAAAGAAACCAGTGTAGCTATGTATTTTTTTTAACTTTGGAAGTAGGAAAAATAAAAGATTTTAACTGGACAGCATGAAAGGCACATCTGTGAGCTAAAGGTCACAAACCTTTTTAAAATGGCAAAAGTATCTTTCCCCTTTCATTGCACCTGAAAATGGGTTTCTCTCACAAATTTTTCAAAAGACCTCGATCCACTCTCTTATGCAGAGAATCAGACCTGGGGAACTTCACCCAGTCAAAAGCAACTGCAGAAAAAAATTATTTAGACTGACAATGGCTTAACAAAATGAGTGAGGCTCTTCAGCTTTATAATTCTAACTATAAGAAGAAAAGCATAGTAAGGCTTTGACAAAGGAAAAAGCATTTAGAGGAGAAGATTACTACTGACAAACTTCAAAGCAAATTAATAATGACTCTAATACATGTACAGTCATAAGCTTAATAAAAGATTCAGGGTAAATTTATTATTTCCCATCAGTTACTGCACTTATTAACTTTTTAAAAAAGCATGTAAAAAAACTGAAATTTTCATGGCAAAATACATTTAATGTCTTAAAACAGATTTTTTTTTTGGTGTAAGGAATAAAGGCTTATGCTCTTAATTAATTTTCTATGTTTCATAAAAGCAGTACTAACCCTGATAAGCCTTTTTGAATAATTACTATTTGGATGGGTTGAGAACCAGGTGCATGCAATCTGGTCATTAATTTTCAGGAAATGTCCCCAGTGGGTCACTATTTATAATGAATTTCATGGTTTTGGTATATCTTTATAGATTTTCTAACATAGCTGCATAATTTTGGCACATTTTCTTTTTTTCTATTTTCATAATATGAACAAGTAATTTGATGATTCATGTTGATTGCAGGAAAATAAGTGTAAATATTTCTAATTTCAAGCTTGACAAAGCTCAAAGTAAACAGAATTAAAGTACATTGAATTTCACAATGTGTCAGCTGCTTTATTGTTTCAAGCTTTGTATTTCTATCTGCTTTAGATCTGCTATCTATTCTTATGGAAATCAAAGGATTTATTTGGACACTAAAAGTAAAAATCCACTACACAGAGGCAAAACTTGAATTCTTTCAACTCATTCCCCATCAAAGGCAACAATGTCAAATCAAACAAGAGAACTACTTAGCAAAAAGATAAAGTTACAGCACCAAGTGTTGGTGGAGATGCTATACATGCTAACCATTGCAACTCTGGTCAATCTATGATTATAGATAAGTGCAGGCACCCATCAATCCTATGGATCATGGTTGTGTGTAAGAGGTCTAGTCAGGTCTAGCCTGATGAATTTACGTGTACAGAATCCTGTGACCATCGCACCCACACCTTCGACACACACACCTTGGTAAGAGTATGGAGGAGTGGAGGCTGCCCTAAACCTAGCATCTACCCCTTAGACCATTGAGACAGAATCCAAAGGCCAGACCAAGTCCAGATGGTCAGTGCCTTAATGACTGTAGCTTCTGCCAGAGAACAAGAGATAAGAACTGCTGCTGACTGCCTAATGCCTCAGCATGGGCACATTTCTGTCTGGGTGATGTCCCTTTGCTTTTCTCCCATGAAGGAATGCCCACAAGGCAGTGGGGGCTATGGTTCTGAGGCACCCTATACTTGCTTTACTCTGGAGGTTGCAACATCATGGTATTTTATAGAAGCTTTCCTGACACAAGTAGCCCCACCGTGTTGCCACCAGTCCCTCCAGGCAGATGCAGTTCATGGTCAGACCCAGGACATGTAACCACAGTATAAATATTGTAAGCAGCCTTATACAAAACTGAGACCAATTATAAAATAGCAGCAGTCTCAGACTATGCCAAAATGACACGGCCATTTTGCCAGGCTGTGAGGCTAGAGATCAAAAGATCATTAAAGAGTTAAAAAGCCTGTTACAGATCTGGAGGAGCTGAAAACTTTCAGCAGCTACTGAGGGATATGGGCACTAATGGGGAAAAAATATGTAGAGGGAGTCTGAAGATGGAGGTCTTTCCCAGAATCGGGGAAGAATAAGCTTAGGGACAAGTTTGCCATACGTATAGCCTATTTTATTGTTTTAAGGTTTTTCCCTCTGAAATGCTTTCATTTAATAAATAATGCTTTATTTAGAAGAGGCTGTTTGGTCACTACTTACCACTGTCACTGCTCCTGGAGAAGCAACAGAACTATAGGTATATGACCTATGTCAGACCTACTGAAGGAAAAATAGTTAGCCCCCAAGGGAGAACTGCAAACTAGAGTCCCGTTTAACAGTTGGAGAATTCCATGATTCTGCAGAGCTTGGTAATGGCTCAAAGCCTGAGACCTACAAAGGTATGCACTTTGCAACACCAGGAGGCGAGAAGTGCTCTTCACCTCAGTTCTGTGACAAATGCACTGTGGCAAGGCATAATTAAAGGAAGTTCTGGATTCCATGAACAGAGAATTACTCAGGATTTCAAGACAAAGAAATGAATTTATATTAATACACAAGATATGGCTGAAATTTTCAAAAGGGCCTCAGCGAGCCAAGTGACCAACTTCAACTGAAAGTGAGGGAGAGGTGGGCTCTCAAGTCCTCTGAAGCTCTTTGAAATGCCTGTCAATGTTCTGACTTTGTAGTAATATCTTCCCCACCACAATCAAACTTGCAAAACTTTTTCCATATGTGAGTTAGTTATCCTAGCAGTCTTTTCCCTTAAGATCCAGGTTCAGGAACCTTGTTTTTCACGTGGACTCTATGTGGGGCAGGCAACTCTGTAGTATACCTGAAATGTATATGGCATGATTGAGTAAAGGATAAATCAGTACAACGCAATCTTTAGTTACTTACAATCCATAAGCAGAGCTTACGGCCAGACTGGTGATCTGTTGTGGAGGCTCACCATCCACCCACACCAACTGAATGACAAGTTCTGCTTGATACCCAGGAGGCATCCGTACTGGTCGAGTCTTAACACTAAGAAGAAAAAGGGAAACAAAGTAGAAACAAAATAAACAAAGTACTTAGGCCATGATGACAGAAACCATGAAACACACCGAGGTATCTGGAATCCTAATGCTCATAAGCAGTCCATAGATTCCATTTGTCCCTCCATCTGAAGAAAATTTATTCCTTAAATCTTTTAATCCTTTTAGAACAGTTATCCAATCCCAGATCCAGTCTCAAAGACTGAATGGATTCCTGCATGGCTGCCTATGTAGTTTGGTGTGGTTAAGCATTCTTTCTTTATGGTTTGCCAGGGCAGGTGCAGTGACCTGCAAAGCAGGATCCTGAAACAGGAGGCTGTTCGAGTTATGCATCCTGCAGCAGCCGAATCTCCGAATCAGATTTGGCCAAATCAAATCAGGACAGTGATTTGAATCACCGAATCGAATCACTGTCCCCTGAATCGGCCGAATCCAAATCTGAAGCGAATACTAGCCACTTCACCCAGGGCTTACTAAACACTGTGAAGTAATACAGCAATAAGAGGGGGCACGTAGGCACCTTAGAATGCAATACTACTACTACTAACACCACCACCATTACTACTACTACTAATACTATAGCATAAATTTGATGCCTAAAACATGCTAATGTCTTCCAGAGCACATGGAGTGCTGCACAGCATCATAAAAACACAGTTAATATAAACACTCAGAGAAAACCTAATGAGGTCCATCCTACAAAACACAAGCCCAAATGGGTGGTGCTGGAGATGCTGTAAGTACAGTACAAGCATTGGTCATAATAAACTACTCCTTTTATATGAAAAAAAAGTCTTAATATACATTTCTTCTCTGAAAATGACTATAAAGACAATGTAGTTCTGGAAGTGAAACAATTTTACTGAGATTCATTTTTCTGTGACAACTTCATTTGCAAACATGAATTTGGCCTAGAAATGTGGATCTTCCACAGTCAATAGAAGACCATAAGGAAAAAACCCTCAGAATTCCATTCCACCAGTCCCATTCCAGCCTGATGGGATTTTGTCTCATTATGGTAGAAATAGTCATTGCCGAATGAAGCGGTTCAGCTGTGCTGCAGCAGAGGTGATCTGCTTGCTCCACTGGTCAAAGCACATGTTGCCCCTTGTCCTGCCCTTGGGGGTGCGGGACAACACATGATATGATCTTCCCAATTTCCCTGCTCAGCCAGACCTGTCCCCCGTGGGTTTGGCCGAGTGAGGAAAAGCCCTTCCCTGCTCAGCCAGAACTGCTCCCTTGCAATCACAGAGCTTGGGTCTGGTTGTGCAGGGAAAAACCTCACTTTCCCCACTCAGCCAGACCCACTCCTGCAATTGCAGGGGGCAGGTCTGACTGAGTGGGGAACCTACACTTCCCCACTTGTGAAGAGGTACCCCAAAATTCCCTGGGGTGCCTCTGTATAAGTGGGGCAAATGGGAAGGTACAAGCTGCCTGGGGTGGCTCATACTTTCCCACTACAGAACTAATACAGCTTCATAAAGGATAGCAATGTCTATTTGCTCCTATTTGTTTCCACCCCTAGGGATCCAGCTCATTCCAGGCTCAGGTTTATTAAAAATCAGTCATACTATCTCAAGACCAGAAAGGTTCCATAGCTTCTCTAATTTACTTTTCAGTTTTGCCCACATGTGGTTCCAGTTCTTTTCTGTAAATCAGATTAAGGCTGAGACTGTGACAGGACAGCCATCAGCCTGCAATGCATCAAGTGCCTCTGAAACTGTCTGCAATTAGTCTTCTAAGTGTAGTTCTTCTCAGTAGAATCATTTCCTGCATAAAATACTTGTTCTGTTTGAATCAAAGTCCTGCTCATGTTCAGCACAAATATCAACAGGCTAGTATGCCAAAAGGAGCTACCAGCTGTCATCAAGCAGATAGTTTCATAGTTTGTAGGGTTGGAAGGGACCTGAGCAGATCATCAAGTCCAACCCCCCTGCCATGGCGGGAAAGAGTATTGGGGTCAAACGACCTCAGCCAGGTGATTGTCTAGCCTTGTCTTAAAGACCCCCAGGGTAGGAGCCAGCACCACTTCCCTTGGAAGTTGGTTCCAGATCCTAGCCACCCTGACTGTGAAGTAGCGCCTCCTGATGTCTAATCTGAATTTTCCCTCTGCCAGCTTCTGACCGTTATTTCTTGTCACTCCTGGTAGTGCTCGGGGGAACAGGGACTCCCCCAATGCCTGCTGGTCCCCTCTAACTAGTTTGTAACAGGCCACTAGATCCCCCCTCAGCCTTCTCTTGTGGAGGCTGAACAGGTTCAGATCCTGTAGCCTCTCCTTGTGGGGCCTGCCCTGCTGCCCCCTGATCATGCGAGTGGCCCTCCTCTGGACCCTCTCCATGTTGTCCACATC